GGGGACTGAGCCACTGAATCCTCTTTAGAAATACTAAAGGAGATGAGAGGCAGAGATTTACCAAAGAGAAAGTTCGGAAAGTCTCGGGTCAAGCTGGGAGGAACCCAAAAAATGCCAGGGGGAGAAAGCAACTCTTTGGGGCTACACCTTTGCAACCCCAGGCTGCCTGGAGACAGCGCGTGTGGCGAAATGTGCCCGCGTCCCTGCGTCACGCCCGCCTAGGCTTCCACCTGGCTACCGCCACTGGAGGCGTGGAGTCCAAGGCTCCCAAGCACTCGGCCCTGCGGCGGCCCAGCAGCCCTCCCACGGTGCCTGCCCTGCGAAGCCGGGTGGCTGCGGGTTCCTGCCGCTTGCTGCGCCCTCGCATCTCCCGTCGATGAGAGGACCGAGGCCTGCGCCCAGGAGCTCCCTGGCGGTGGTCAGGCCGCCCCCCTTGAGACTTACAACCCCCCTTCCAGCCCCGTCCCCCTTCGTCACCCCGGGGGCTTCTAATCACTCCGTATCGATTTCCCTAACTCTTTTCATCCCGTTGAAGACACATCTTAAAACACTCCAGCCCGGAGTGTGCTCTGGGCTTTATCCACACTAATAAAATGATTTACCCTTCTCTCCGCGCTCTCCTCACAGAGGAAAATCGTTCGAGCCCCGGCTATTTGTGTGTGATCAGTAAATATTTAGTGCGGTGACATCCTCAGCTAGGCTTTGGATCGATTCCGGGCCCACCGGGAGGTGTGCACGGTCCGGGCGGGGCAGCGCCAAGCCCTCGGATGGGGCTCCTCCCGCCCCTGCTACCAGCCGCTGATTTACAGCCTGTGCAACCCACACGGGGGGGGGGGGGGGGGGGGGGACAAAGCGCGCCTGGAAAATTGGCTTTTCAACCTTTTTACTTTTGACATTCAGCCACTTCCCCAGACTCTAATTCTCGCCCCCTCCCCTCTCTTCCCGCTATCAAGGGCGCTGAGCGCCCTGCGAACCTTTCCTAAAGCAGTGCGCCGCGTTCGCGCCCTTGCGGCTTGGGGACCACCTAACACAGCCCTGCCCCGCGAAGCAGAGAGGCCCCAGCCTCTGCTACCAGAGTCGGCTTCTTCGCGGAAAGACGCTCTCGGCCCGCCCACCCCTCAGAGAGCCGAGAGCAAGTGGAGAAACCCACAGCAACATTTGCTGAACAGGAGCCCCTTTTTTCGCTACCCTTTCGCGAGACCTTTCCCCAACTCCATCGTCTGGTCCTCGACGCCCCTCGGGCCGCGTGGCGTCGGTTGGAAACTTTACTTTCCTGTCTGAAATACTTCACTTTCCTTAGAAGGAAAGAAACCCTCAGCTTGGAGGTATTGAGAGGGGACCTCCTTCCCGATCTTGGCTGCCAAAGGGTTGCTGCATGGCTATGGCAGTGCCAATGTTTCCTTGGCCCTAGTCATTATTCCCGAGCCACACCCTGGACCTGGGACACCAGGAAATGGGCCAGACCTGGAGTGGGGTACCGCAAGGTCTCACCGTGTCCAAGAGGACCCACCACCTCTACTCTCGGAGTGCTGATACCTTACCAAAGTAGTATGTGAAGAAGACAAACCCCTCATGCTCCACAGTTCCTGGAGTGGAGGCACTGGTGCCCACCTGTTAGCCGGCCTGCCCCCCTCACCTGGAACCTGGACCTTTGCAATTCCCCTGGGGCCCAAAAGGAAGGGGCTCGACCTTGCTGTGTCCACACACCCCTCCCAAGCACTAGCGCCCTCTTCTTTGTCCTACACATGGTTTTCTAAACCGCCTTATCTGTAGACTATATCTTCATACTAATGCATACTTAATTGGTCGGTCTTGACTGTCCATATAAAACAATTTAATTAGGGTGCTTTCCTGCTTTGGAGAGCAAAGAAAAAAATCTGCCCAGTGCTTATTGTATTTAGCACCAATACAGGCAGAAAATGTAGCACAAGTTTTTGGTTGAAAGAGCACCTCTGTGTCCATTGAAGGGCGTTGATCCGAAAAGACAGAAAGGACAAGTAAAATCGATTTGAAGCGACCCTCTCTGTCCCTTTCACACCATTCAGAAACTCCATTCCTTCTAAGACAAAGACCAGTGCCTTGGGAATTCTCAGGGGAAAAGAAGACTCCAGTCCCATAAGCCTAGGGCTCTATTTAAAAATTCTTCAATATTCCACTTTAAACCTGGACTCTGTGCTGTGCTCCCTGCATGCTAGTTTCACAGACACCCCCTCTGAAGAGCTAGTCAGGCTAACAATCTTGATTCCCCAACCGGCTTGGCCTTCTGACCAGCCCTGCCAGCCTTTTAGGGTTAGTGCAGGCTTCACCTTTGACCCCCCCACCAAGACTAGAGTGGCCACCAGTGCTACAGCTCTGGCCAAAGTTAAAGCAAAATGACAACAAAAAATATCACTCCTAAACCCAGGGAAACCAGTTCTGCTTCAGCAGCCTGACCTACCTTACCCAATAGCCACCTCCATACCCATTTTTTTTTCCTTCTTCTTCATTTGCAGTGACCTGACCTAACCACCTCTGAAGGAGAGAACTTTAAGTTGTCAGGGATGCATCTCTAGGTTGTGGTGAGTTGCCTGGTCTAATTGTTCTTCCATTAGGAAACCGGAATGCCAGATTATCCCACAGGCACCCAGGCTGGGGAAGGCAGTCATCGATCAGACCTGGCAAAAAAAAAAAAAAAAAAAAAGGAGGGGGGAGAGGGGAGAAGAAAGAAGAGTGCAGGAGAGGGAAGAGGCCCGACTGTGATCACCTTCACCTGCCCTGGGCCGGGCCTCAGTTTCAAAGATCCTGCGACCTTCAACTAGGGTTGAAGGGGGCAGGACGAAAGGGAGGGGGCACCCCTGAGTTACACAAGTGGCCTCCTTCTAGTAAGAGAACGAGTTCACCACCTCCCCAGAGGAACCTTACCATCCATCCACTCAGTATAACTGATGAGACAAACCGCAAGGAAAAAACTTCTGTAGCCCATATTTATGGTATTAATGAATAGTTTTAAAAAGATTTACACTTCTTATGATCAATATTCTGAGTTATTTCCCTCAAAGTATATAATTACAGTGTCTTCAGAGTTTTCATCATTGTTTGAGGTGGCAAAACCATTTGTAATTTTCATTAGCCAGTAAACATGTAATTAACATTCAGCACTGTGTTTAACTTAATTCCTGTTTAAGACAAGGACAAGAAGCAGCCCAAGAGCGTTAGTTCCATTTGTCAAGTCTGACATACATCTTACCATAACAGTTTCCTAAAATAAAAGATCCGTGTTTCCCCATTATTCTTCTCTTAAAACAAAACAAAACAAAAAATCCATTAGTTAAAACTGTATTAAACAGCAAGAGGCAGCATAGTTTATCCTAAATTTTTGCTAGTTATTGTATTCCTGCTTCCTTTATTCATCTTGGGGAGTGATGAAGGGAGGGGTGAATTAAGCATTCATTATACTAAGGCATGAAATGGGGAACCCCTCCCCCCAAAAAGAAATCATTTCCTCTTCAGGAAAGTTCTAGAATGGGCACCAGAAAGGGGAGGGAGGCACTGATCCACAGGGGAGAGGGAAAAATCACTTGGGGGGACTTGAGTTAGAAGTAGAAAATGAGGATTCCAGCAGATTCCTAGGAAAATATTGCCCTCCTGTTTCAAGTTCTATCTTTGATCCAGGGTGAGAGGAGCCTGTCTGCCAGTCTCCGAGGCTGCTGCTTTTTCCCCCTCCTCTCCCACCTCTATTTTTTTCCCAACTTGCTTTAGGATTAGCCTCCATCCCTCTCGACCCCAAACAGTGGAATTTTGGCTGTGCCTCCGGTCGTCTTGCTTTGCAATATCGCCTAGAGTTGTTGGCGGTTTTCTGCTAAGACTGAGCCATTTGCTCCAGCCTCCGACTAAACTCATTAAGTTGGGAGATTTTTTTCAATTGGACGGGTGTTTTTAAAGTCTCGTCTTTCCAGCCCCAAACAAGGTGTAACAACGCACTCTTCCTTCTAAGGAATGAGATGAGAGACAAGGATCACTCCAGACATCTCCTACCTACGGTTTGGGGGTTTTTTTCTTAAAGGCGAGGCTTGCATTCCTCAGCAGTTATGTACAAAGCTCCCTGAAACCTTGTCTCTCTAAAGTTAGTGTGCAGGGTTTTCCAAGGCTGGGAGCGCCTAATACATGGGGAAGCACTTCCTTGAGGTGGAAGATCTCTCCCTTCACCTTTCCTCTTTTTCCCTGCAGGCTAGTGCCTACTTTTTATCAGTTTGCACAATCGCTTAGATAAACACCGAGGAGGAGATTCTCTTTAATTATCAAAGACACATCTTTTCAGAGGGCCAACAAAGCGTTTATTTCACCCGCCAAACTAAAGGAGAGTTATTCCAGTTTAGAAGGAAGATGCAAGCGGTTTGGGACCTTGAACAAGGCAAATATGGTTTTGGTATGTTTACTTACAGTATTTTTTTCCTCTTTCTCTCTTTTCTCCTTGTGCTGTGTGGGGTTGGGGATGACTTGGGGCTTTTCAGAAAATCGGTTTGCTAATGTGTGTGAAATGCCTAGGACTGTGGTTTAAGGGGTTTGGGGAAGGGGGAACAGAGTCAATTCAGTGCATTGCCATATTTTATTACATGTGTGTGGTAGAAGTGATGGAAGGAGGAGAGGGGGAAAATACAATCGCAAAGCTGCCAAAATATGATTAAACCAAAGCATAAAGACTGCGGTGCCTTCCATCTCCTTGTCCTGTCTTCTCAAACTCATTTCTTTCTATAGAGCAAACTGAAAACCGGTCCTATGAGCCTGGTTTTCCAAGCAGCAGACGACTCGGTTTTCTATCAAAGGAGCTGCTAGGCTCGCACCAAGTATCAGAATTTACTGTTCGATTTGCTTCTGCGCTTCATTTTGCAACCTTGTGCTACTGACAGCCAGGCAGGCAGGGAAGGAGGGAGGAAAACCCTGCGGATCGCCCTCGGCCGCGGTTCGGGAAGGCGAGCGCTCGGTTAAGCTAAGAGGAGAATCGCAAGGAGAAGGGTACTCACCATCGGGCGGGGTGGTGGAGCTGACGTGCGGATTTCAGGCAAACGTTTACCTTTTTGCTGTCTATTGCAACCGCGCTGGGCAGACTTAAGAAGCAATTCTGTGCTCTGTCCAAAACGTTCAGAGAATGGTTCCTCATTTTTAAAAAGGCAGCGAGAGAGACGACAGAGACAGAGAAAGAAAAAAAGAGAGAGAGAGAGAGGAGGGGGTGAGGGGGACGCACATAAACCCAGTTCAAAAAAAAAAAAAAATCATCACCTCTTCACCAGTGACTCAGGAAATGCAGAGGCGGCGAGATCCGAGTACAGCCCAACCAAGCCAGAGCCAATTAATTTTAAATCCTGAAGAATTATTCAGATTAAAATGTACAGAAGTTTCATTCTCCTATGCCTACGTGAGCCCAAAGTCGTTTCCCTTTAAGAGCTCCTTTTCTTTTAAAGTTGAATTTTAGGCAGAGAGGACTCTTACACTAGGGGGCAGACAGATACTGTACTTGCTCCAATCTTAAGCAATTTTTTTCCCTCCCAGCATATGCTCTGATTTAGCACTGTAAATTTTTCAGAGGACCCAACTCTGACAGCCCCTGGTGATTTTCAAAGTACCACAAGCCAGTGGTTAAAAATTGCATTGACTTGGAAGTTCAGAGGGACACAATGGAAGCCCCTTTCCCTATTCATGGAGCTCCAGTGTGGTGGAAGAGAAAAACACACACGGACTAGATTGGGGGAAAGGAGGAATTCAATGAATCCTGGTGGACGGAACTGGTTTCTACTGAGTTCAGAGTTAAACTCCGAATGTGCTGGGGTCTGTATTCATATTGTGATTTAATCTGTAAAGAATTACAGGCCATTCGGTCACTTTCTGCAAGAAAATCATATGCCTGGATGTTTGGGTCCCCCCCCCCATATTAAGACAAATGTTTTTTCCAACTTTCACCAGCCAAATTAATGCTTGCCATTCCTCTCATTAAAATAAATTTACATTTGCAATAAAAGACTAGGCTGGGTTTTAAAAAGATAATAACAATATATCGATATTTATCTTTTAATCTGAGAACTTTATGATCTTAGAGTTAAGGCAAATAAGCATCTCTGAAGAGGACATTTTAAAATTTCCACATCCTTTTTCTTCTTAGCCGGCTATCTCTTCTTCCATGCAATAAAATTAATTACAATTCTTATGATTATCCCTGCTTTTAACCAGCATTGCCATAACTAAAGGGGTCCTAAAATACAGAGTGAAACTCCTTTGACTTCATGGTAGCCCTGTGTTCGTACATGTAACAGGCTCCAATCCTTTAGGAGAGATAGTTGGGAAATTCTTCATTTTCAATACAAGGCCATCAAAGTCTTCAAATCCCACCCCCCCCAAAAAAAATCTCCAAATGAAGATTTTTCTTCCTCAAAATCATCATCTCATATGTGTATAAAAAGTGATCTTGCTATGGAAGTGTCCACACTCAAGAGGCAAGATTAAAATTTCCCTATAATCAATTATTCTCATCTTCTATTAAATTGAGATGGGAATACACATTAGATTTCATATCTCAACCCCAGTCCCACTATATGACTGAGCTTGCCCCTAAACTTCTGATATTATAGCATTAGATAATTCCTCAAATCATAGAGTTGAAAGGGGGGGGGGGAATCCCCAAACCTTTCCCTCTGAAATGATTTCTTTTCCATATCTCTTATGCTCTTTAGGAGAAAGTTATATTGTGTCTCTAATCAGCCTGAAAATTTCAGCCTAGTTTCACTCTGTGGCAGTCTTATTACATACCATGTTTATGATAGTTCAGTGTCCATTATAAATTGGTATTTCTTAAATATTTAATTAATGTCAGCACCTGAAACCTTAGTGAAATATGTTATTTCAGCGAAGAAAGACAAGGCTAAGAGGTTTTCAAGGTTGTAGTTTAAAGGGAATTTTTGATTCTCTGAAAACCAGCTCCTTTCTGTTCACATCTGCACTTAATCCTTACCTCGATTTTTGCCAATATATGTAAAATACACTGAAACAAAGTGTAATCTAAACATGTCAATTACGTGTATGGTTTATTTTTTTAAAATATTTTCAGAATTTTTTGAGCTATCAAGGATGCTTTTCCGAAGTCATCAATTTACTCTTTATGGCATTCATTATTCCCTGGAGCTTAGCATCTTTTGTGCAAAATATTGTAATTGTTCATAAACCTGTTTGGCTTACAAGTTTACAGTTTTTCTTTGTGCAAAGTGTCTGATGGAAACATAATTTTCTTGTATAAATTTGGACTAATCACAATTCACTGACTGGTCATAATCAAATAGCAAGATTACTGCAATAGAGTATGTGGTCTGAGGTAGTGATTCTACATGTTTGATGTTTAAAACCAAACACCCTGGAATTCAAAAACACAACACTGTCAATGATTTTAGCACATTGAGTAGGAAGGCATAGGCTATGAAGTTGTTCTTTTTTGTAGTGATTCTCTTGAAGTAGAATATGGCTTGTATGTGGTTCTTGTGAGTTGTACTGCTATTTCCAATTTGGGGAAGAATTTCTGGGTGTGTTTTAATGACTATAAGAATGCTTAAAAGGAACTTGAAGAACAATGACGTTCGTACTCAACTGTTCTATAACCTAGAAGCATAGTAGCGGAAGTCTTTGTCTGTATACATTGACAAATGTGTATCTGATACATGTGCGCTTACATGTGTGTAGAGAGGGTGTGCACAGGGAAGGTTGAGCGGATGCCTCCGCCTGTCCATCAGCGGGCAGAATGGTCTTTTCCCTTTACCACGACTGGGTGTGTGGCAGGATGTTGGCTTGTGAGCTAGCTAAAATGAAAATAAAGTTGAGTGAAATTTATTTTAATTGCATCATGACAATAAGATGAACTCTACTTCTGCTTCTTAGCATCGGAGATGTTTTATTTGAGCAATTAAAATGTCAGGCCATAAACCTGTGAAATGTTAACTCTACAAGGAGGAGACGGACATTGAATGCCCCCCCCAAAAAAATAAACAAACAAAAATGAGCTATCAACCGAGCAAATGATCAGAGTTGATTAAGAGAAGGGGTTACCATCACCCGGATTTGACCAAATATTTCGTTTGGAAAATGACTGCAAGCTCAATTTGTGGCACCTTCCCATCTCCCCTCCCTGCCCCTCTAAAATGAAACCAGGGAACTTTTCCCTTTTCTTTGGCATCGTGGGCACCAAGATGCGCGGAGAGTTCCGGGCCGTGCGCAAGCGGTGGATATTGTGGCATTGCCAAGTTGAGCGAGGCAAGTCCTCTATTCCATCCAAAGCTTCTCGCGGAGCCTTTAAGAGGCGTCCTGTGTGCGCGCCGCGCTTCTCTCCCCGCCCGGGTGGAAACCTGGGGTTCGAGGTGCTGAGAGAGCGGGGGCCGCGCTCCCTGGGCCGGCGCGGGCCCATCCCCCGCTCGGCGGCAGGGGCGGCGCGGCCACCGGGTCCCCGCCCCCCTTCATCCCCCGCGCTCCTCGCGCAGCGATCCGGACACCGCTCGCGCTAGGACCGGGCTGCGCCCACGGCCGCCATGGCGGGGCCGCTGCGCTCCGGCCAATGACGGCGAGGGGGCGGCGCGCGCGCGCCTGGCCAGGCCAACCCCGGCTGCTGCCTTATAAGGCGCGCCGTCGCCATGGCAACGTGCGCTAAGTTGCAGCAGTCGTGTCAAAGTTCACTATATAGAGAGCTCAGTGAGCTGATCGCGGAGAAGCCACTTCTGCCAGCCCCGGCGCCTATAAATCGCATTCCCTCCCGCGCCCCCCTTTTTAGCATATTTGATCACTTTGATTCTCTGTTCTTTTCTCTCCGCGGTGTGTGTGTGCGTGCGCGCGTGTGTGTTTTCTTCTCCTCCTCCTCCTCTCCCCGAGTTGCTTCCTTTCTCTGGTTGCAGTACTGCCTTTTTTTCCCCTCTTTCATTCTTTCTCTCGGTCTTTTTCTCCCCCCTTTGCGCACGAAGGATGTGCTTCTAGGTGGTGATCTGCCCTCCTTTCTCTCTTTTATCATTTCTCCCCCGCCGCCGGCGAGTTGACTCTTTCCCTATGTGTGTGAGGCGGCGGCGGCAGCAGCAGCAGCAGCGGCTCCGGCGGCGGCAGCAGCGGCAGCAGCGACTTCACCGGCGGCGGCGGCGCTAGACGCGGCGGCTCCGGGCCCGACCCGGCGGCTTCGGCGGCGGCTCCGGCGGCGGCGGCGGCCCGGGCGGCCCGCAGGGAGCAGAGAGCGGCCTCCACCAAGCAACTGAGAGCAGCGGCCACCGGAGCAAGCGAGGCGCGCGCCGGGCGCCCGGGACAGGCGGCGGCGGCGGCCCAGCGCCAGGACGACGCCGCGCAGCGCCCGACGCGGACCACTTTCATGCTGATTCCCCCGGACCCGGGCAGTGCTCTGGCCACTCAGCGGGCCGCCGGCCTCCGCCCCGGCCTGCCTGGCTCCCTGGGCGCGCCCGCGCCCGGCGCCTCCGCTCTCCTAGTCCTCCAGATTTCGATGGCTTTCCTGAATGGCTGACTGTGGGCTGCCCTGGACTTGGCCCCCGGACAGTCGCCTCTCCTCCTCCTCCTCCTCCTCCTCCTTCTCTTCCTCCTCCTCCTCCTCCTTCTCCTCCTCCTCCTCCTCCTTCTCCTCCTCCTCCTCCTCCTCCTCCTCCTCCTCCTCCTCCTCCTCCTCCAACTCCTCGGCTGCACACCAGATCTGAGAGCGAGTGAGTGAACGAGAGAGGGAGGGAGAGAGTGAGAGCGAGCGAGATCTTTGGAGAGATTTTTTTTTTTTTTTTTTGCCTTCTACTTCTGTCTTGAAGCCAGACAATCGACTTGCAGCTCTCCCTCCCCTCCCTCTCTCTCCACGTTCTGCTCCCACTCGCTCTCTCCTGTACCATTCCCCTCCCCTCCCGACGGAAACCCCCCGAAACCAACAAAGCTGAGCCGAGGGAAACAAACAAAACAAACACACCGGGCCAGACAAGCAATCGACAAAACTTTGCAAAAGCAAAAACAAAAAAGGAAAAACTAACCAACCTCAACCAACTAGCCCTGAGCCACCCGGGGCGCCCTCCCGCGCCCTCTCGCACCCTCGCACACACAAAAGGCGGCGCGCCGGAGCCCGAGACCCGGGAGCCGCCGCCACCCCGCCGCCGCCCGCAGCCAGGGGAGCAGGAAGTCCGGACTCGGCCCCCATAGATATGGCAATGGTAGTCAGCACGTGGCGCGACCCCCAGGACGAGGTGCCCGGCTCCCAGGGCAGCCAGGC